CCATTTTTAACATCCTCTAGTTCTCAACCATTTATATTGTGGTATGAGTATGAAAAAACTGGGGATGAGGCGGGACTGAATGCAGGCAATGAATACAAGCTATGGAAGAGGATATACAGTTAATTTTTTTCTAGTTCTCACTCATGGATTTTGGATTTTTGGTGATGAGTAAATTCATAAAATATATTCAATAGTGAAGTATATAATCTGATATGAAACTTCCCAGTGTCCATTCTGAATGGCTACTCTGAAGTTCACTGAGTTGTGCAGTTTTTCATCAGGCTAATTTCAGTGTATGAGGGGTTTTGTTTGTTTGTTCGTTTTTATTTGTTTTTTAATGGGGTTAGGGAGAAACTTGGTGCTAGGGAAATTCCCAGGAATCCACAAGGATGACCCCAGCTAAGACTCCTAGCAATAGCACAGAGTGTGCCCAAACTGGCCTTCCCTGTAATCAGATTGGTGACTACCCTAATTGTCATCATCACCCAGTAACTGATGGAAGCAGATGCAGAGATCCACAGCTAAGCACTGGGCTAAGCTCTTGGAGTCTGGTTGAAAAAAGGGAGGAAGGATTATATAAGTAAGTGGGGTCAAGATCATGATGGGGAAAACCACATAGACAGCTGATCCATGCTAGTGAGAGCTCACAGACTCCGGACTGACAGCTGGGGAACCTGCATGGGACCGAACTAGGCCCTCTAAATGTGGTAACAGTTGTGTGGCTTGATCTGTTTGTGGGGCCTTTGGCAATAGGACCAGGATTTATCCTCGGTGCATGAACTGGCATTTTGGAGCCCATTCCCTATGGTGGAATACCTTACTCAGCCTTCATGCAAGGGGGAAGGGCTGGGTCCTGCCTCATTTTGGCATGACAGACTTTGTTGACTCCCCAAGGGAGGCCTTACCGGCACTTCAAGAAGTGGATGGGGTGTGGGGTCAGGGTGGGGGATGGAGGGGGGAGTGGGAGAAGGGAGGGTAACTGTGGTTGCTATGTAAAATGAAAAAAATTAAATAAAAAAAGAAAGTTTAAAATTGTTCAAGGAAAAGTGTATTTTGGCAATATTTACAACTCTAACAGGACATGTATCACACAGAGTGGACAGCAACTGGCAGCAGTCAGGTGTCAAGCCACAAGGAATATTGTGACCTGCAAACCCAGGATGTATGGAAAGCAAGTGGTTAGTACATGATCCATTCAGAGCCATGGAAAGCAGACTGCCTTCAAATGAAGGTCCTAACATGAGAACTAGATCACTTGCTTTGTAAGAATAGGAGAAACACAATTAAACGCTGTAGCATCAGAAAGAACAAAAGATTAAAAGCAAAACCGCTTTCCTGTTAGCTGTTGGGTGGAAGTGAGGAAAAGGAAATTACTGCTGAGAAAAGAGTCCCAGCTGGCATAGAAAATGGTAAGCTAAGCACCAAGTTAGGAGAGCTAAAATTGCTCTGTTTTTATTTGATTTTAAAAACCTGGTCATAATCATTTAAGGAAATGATTACCTTATCATAAGAACTAGAGAGGAAAAAAAAATGAATTGTGCCAGAAGCATTAGAGAGCATTAATTAAATGAAGATAAAGTAGAAATGATGTGGCTTATTAATTTTACTAGAGTAGTTAACAGCTCCTGGCTGTTTCCAGGGCTAATGTAGAGATCCTGAATTCCTGGGTATCCGGGCAGAGTTACTTGATTTTCTGTCTGTTAATAACAGGGGATGCAAGCCCTGGTAATTAACAGGGCTGTCACCTGAACTTCACTGCCCAGAGGGAAGTGAATCATTGAACAATCAATTTACAATCCCAGATAACTGAGAACAGAATGGGGACCAGCATGCCTTCCAGAGAACAATTTTGTTTCAAGATAATGAAAGTGTGCTGGAGAAGATGGACCTTCAGAGATGCAGATTAGAGAGGGCAGCAGCTGATCAGTTTCATCTCCAATCAGGAGCTTGACCTTTGACCTCAGTGTTATAGGAGAGTATAAGACACTCTTATTAGAGTTAAAATAGACTTTGTTTAGAGACAAAACTCTCCTTACGATACAGATATTTGAGACATTTTCTTTCATTCACAAGGAGCTCCAGGTCTCCTGCTTTTACCCAATTTCACAGACTCGGATGACACAGAAGCATCTCTACGCTAAGCCTCTGGAGCAGCACAGCTGTTCACATGAATAATCTTATCAGTCACCTCCTAACAAATGCCTGAAGGAGAAGAAACACAGCCAACGTAATCACTCCAGTCTTACCACAAATGATAAAAATCAATCTTGGCAACCAATTTGGTGTGTTGATGTTTTTGGCATTGTTTCTCCAGGATGGATGTGATGGTATTATAACCTACCATAAAAAGGATAATAGTTTTCACCCCTAAATATGACACACATTCACTTGGTTTCAATTTTCCCGAAAATTGAATGGCATTATTTGTTTTAAATAATGGTATGTTTTTAAAATGAATGTCTAATGCGAAGTCTGCCTACAGTTTTTCACTGTGGCTCTTGCTATATTTTTTTTACTGAAGAAAAAATTAATTTAGAAAATAGCATATCTATAAAATACTGAGTCCAGATAACTGATATTAGGTTAATTCAGGAGTTCAATATTAAAATACATATATCAGTACCTTTACAAAAATGTCACAAAACTGTTATGAAACTATAAATTAAAAATTTCAAGCTATTAATAACACTTCTTGTAAAGTGAATTTTTAATTTTCATAAGAAAAGGAACAAACAAACACTAGTGATCCAATGAAAAACCACAGTGAATACAGCATAAGCAATTAACTAGATTGCAAGGATATCTACATTTTAAACATTGAGTTTGCATTGACAAAACGTTGTTGGTCTACATTTACTTCAAGAACTGACTGAGTCATGATTGAAAATACTATATTAAGTCAACCATGTAAAAAAGGTTAAGGTACCCATGAAAATTCAGTATTCACAAGACAAAACATACAGACCAACAAATTTACTTTAGTACATTAGTGTTGTCTTGTGAGAATTAAATGACCCAGCACTTAAAGTTCTTTGCTCATTGCCTTATAATAAAATGACTGAAATGTGTACACTAACAATGGAAGTTGGAAGCAAAAACATTGGCTAAATAAAAATGTAGCAGGAATAGACTTGGGAGCCATGACATGGGGAAAGAAAATACCAAAAGAAGGTGAAGGTGTCCACAGAGGTAATGAGGTTGGAAGAATAATTTCAGGATGTTAAGGGTAGAGTGAGGTTTGTTCTCCTCAGCTGGAGTCTCTCTGCACTTGGCCCCTCTAAACAGGGTAAACAGTAATCAGAAGTCCTCAGAAGTATGGGGAAGGAAAGGATAAACGAAGGAGATAAAGACCCAGAATTACTTTGTTCTACAAATGCAGACATTCTTCATGAAGAACTCTACCTAAAGTTGTGGCTTCTCAATTCAAACAGAAAGGTCATTAAGGGTTACATGGAGTAAAGAAATTGTGTCATGTGAGTTTAAATTATTTTCTATCCAAAAACTTGTTAAATCATTGGCTTCTCCTATTACACAAATCTCAAACAAATGCCAAAGAATTACACAAATTGAACATAAATACTTACAAATGAAGATTTTGAAAACATAATACAATATATTAAACACATTTGCATCAACTGCTTAATCTTTGATTTATAATCATGGTATTTTCAATCATCTTTGTTAGAAATATTGTCAATAAACAGAGTTCACTTTAATTTGAATAATAAACAGAGAAAATGATAATTCAAAGTAGAAATTGGTAGGATCTTAGAAGGAAAATTCATATGGACAGAACTATTTTACCCACTCAGTTGAATTATTATTATGATTGCTTTAAGTAAGTGGAAATAAACATTTAAAAAAACAGTCCAATACCCAAAGAGCATAAATAAAAAACATTTTAGTCAGTTTACCAAATACTTTATTACAATTTACAGTTTTTATTTTTCAAAGTCATTTTCTCCTACTAATCTCTGATTTATTAACTGTAAGATTATAGTTAATCTTAGATATGGCTTCTAAGTATAAGTATGATCACCTAGAAAGTTTGTAAAAAAAAATATTACAGACATCTGTATTTAAAGCATACTGCCATATGTATTTATCAGAGTAACTTAATTTGCTAGATGATTTTTGTTGTTGGTTTATTTTGAACTATTTTACATCTGGACTGCAGTTCCCCCTCCTTCCCTCTTCCTAGTCCCTCCCTCCCAATATCTCTTCTGTCCCCTCCGTCCCCACCCACTCTTCCTTCAGTTCTTTTTAGAAAAGGGCAGATCTCCCATGGATATTGACAAAATATGGCTCATCGAGTTGTAGTAAGATCACCCTGAACAAGCCCCACCTCATCTGATCTTGGAAGCTAAGCAAGGCCAGACCTGGTTAGTACTTGAATGGTAGCTGGATGATTTTAAATGGACATGTTCTTGTGATAAGTAAGCCATCAGATACCAACCACATGGAACTGGCATGTAAGGGAGTAGACATGGCATTTTTTTTACCAAATAGCTGAAAACAAAGTTAATTTCCAGAGATTCAAATTTACCTTTTAAGGGTTCAAATCCTACACAGGGAGTGTATGAATGAAAAGTGTATTTATCTTATGCTTCAGAAGTACTCTCTTCTCTCTATATATCCCTTCTCTCAATCCTATCTTTGCATGAGTATTCAAGTTTCAGTGAGTTTCCTCACAATCTAACATTCATGAAGTTAAAAAATAAGATACTTATTAAGATACTTAATAAGATACTTATTAACCCAACTAGACAGAAGGTAAACATTTCAAGGGTGGAATTGTGTGTAAATTGGACAGGTGGACATAAAGAAAACTTGAAATCAACATGAGGTGCCCTCAGAGTGAAATGGTAAGGAGGATTGGAATAATCTAAGAAACTGAAAAGGAGGGTTAGCCTCTAGTCTATGTTATAAACTAGCAACAGTTAGGTATCCATTCTAATTCCAGCAGAAGAAAGCAAGGAAGAAAATTATACCTAACTTACCTTTTCACTACATCCTCCCCATTCCAACAGGGTCTTCCTTCCGCAGCAGCTAATTCAGTAATGCAAAGCTGATCTGCCAGGCCACCGTAGAAAGACCTGTGCAGTCTAAGGCTGTTGATGAATTCTCTAGATGGAAAAAAAAAAATGTCTTTAAACCCATAGAGAAGATCTAAATAACTATTACTACAAACACCTTATAGAATGCTATACTTTACTAATTGATTTTTATATATTTAAGATATTTTATAGCAACCATGAAAATCATTATTTTATAAAAGAATGACATGTTAATATTTAACTTTGTTTTTGGAATAGAAAATTTTCACTGGCTCTAAATCTTAAAGATAAAGGGTTTTAGATACCATGTACCTACAGGCACACACTCCACTTCATTCAGTCTCCCTAAATCCCTCCCTTGCTATTGGCATCTAAACACAGAGACACGACTATTTTCTATTCTATGTGGAAGACATCTGGCTTACACCATGCTTATGAAGTGCCTATTGAATAAAGGTTTATTCAACTTCTATAATGTTTCTGAGTCTTTGGTAACAAGGAATATAAAGTAGTAAGTTTTTACTATACATGACTCTAAGCCCTAGATAGAAAATATTTCAGAAGTACTAAAGCAAAATTTAATAGAGTGAAGTTTAGTGTATCAACTAAGGTTGTATTTTTTTCACTTTCTATTTCTCATGCCTCTGAGGATTACAGAAGGGAAAATGCAATGATAATTTAGAATTTTGCATTTTTTTGCTTAGAAGGCAGTGACATTTGAGTTTTGAAATCAGGACCTGGAAGAACAAAGAATGCTTGCTTTGCAAATTCAAATGCCAGCGTACAGATATCCAGAATCTGTGGAGGAGGACACAACGTGGCTTTCACACCTCCCATGTATAGTGTGCATGTGTATATTTACACCTGCACATTAATGTACACTCACATACATGCAAACACTAATACACACATGAACATGCACACTTACAAAATCAAGAATTAATGTGTGAAGTAAGAATTTTAAGATAATTTCTAACTAAGGTCACTGAGGTGACATCATTGACTGATACACACAAGGAAGGAAGAAACAGCATTTCCTAGTGTCCCACCCCATACAACTACTCTTATCCTGTCCAGTGTTTTCATCTTTCCTAATACTCTCTCTAGCCTACTCTGTGTGTGTGTGTGTGTGTGTGTGTGTGTGTGTGTGTGTGCACAATGTTCTCATTATATTTTGCAGTTTCTTATCTTTCTTCCTGCTCTAGATAAAATAGTCAAGTAGGCAGGGGTTCTTCTGTTTGCTTGTTTGTTTTATTTATTGCTTTAGATCTGAGGGTAATGATGGCGACAGAGAGTAGATCTAATTAACAGTCATCAGAGTAATAAATGACCAAAGACCAAAGAATTAGAGTGTTTGGATTGATATTTTGTGAGATGCCCATCTTGAGAATCAAGTCAAAAGCTACTTTTCAAACTTCATGAGTGTAAACATCATTTACAAATCTTGCCACCATGAAGATGTAGACCTAATAACTCCAAAAAGGGACCAAAATTCTGTATTTCACACAAAGGCTGGCCAATGTTGTTGATGCTACTGGTTCAAGAGTCATGAGTGTAACACACTACACTCTTAAATATTAGACTTTAGATCTTGACAGAGTAGTGATGTCTGGTTCTTCAACCAGGAAAGTGGTGAGCAAAGTCATGGATATTAGTGGAATTTCACAGAGAATCCCTATGCATTAAGAAAAATGTCAAAGGTACTCAAAATAAAGGGGGCGGAGGAGAAAGCAAAGTCACAGAGTCATGCAAACAAAAGAATGAGGGGAACTGAAGTCAGCACAGTTGCTCACAGTATGAAATACTGTGCTGGTTAAACGTGGTGACTAAACTGCTGTGGACTGCAGTTTGCTCCACCTTCAAACAATACATTGCTGTTGCTCTTGGTTGTCCACTGCAGCTAGATGCTAAGGTCCTATTTTAGAAGAGAATACAGGCTACTGTCTCAGGACATATAGAAATCAAGCTGGAAATGACTGACATAGAAACTTCCTCCCTACTTGGTTCCTTTCAAAGTGGCAGAATGTAATATGCAGGCCATTGAGGAAGGGGAATCTTCAGTAGACTTAGTAAGATATGGACCTTGCAAGTTAAATTCTGGCCTCCTAGGTAAACTGTGCTATCTGGTACAGTGAAGTCATGACAGTTATAACTGCCTTTTCAGTGGATTCAAGGGTCCCTCCACAGTAGAAAATTTTGTCTGGTTGTGCAAATGTAGTCCAAATCCCAGAACCAGCAAGGCTTTGTATAGTAACCTACTTTGGTCATTTTGCATAATAAATATGGTGCTCAAATTGCCCTCTACACATTTATATTTATACTTATAGATTAGAGTTATTCTCAACCTTGGCCAGAGAAGCATCTTTTTTACAATGTTCAATAGTCAATGCAGAATCTTATAACTAAAAAAAGGGTTGAAGCCCTAAATGGGAGATTTGCTTGAAACTTCAAATGCTCAAAGAACATTGCAAAAAAGAAAGTAGAAATAAATGTAACAGTTTAAGATGGAGAGGATGGAAAAATGCTGCTGTCATCTAGACGTGACATGACTGTTGAACTCACTATGCTGGGGTTATCTGAAAAAGCCTTATACATAAGATCAAGACAATCAGCATTCAAGCATGGATGGGAGAGAGGCATATAAGGCTCCACCCATAACTGATAATGGAAATCTTCTGGTGGAAGGGAGTCATTTTCCTGTGGGCATGGCATACAGCCTCTGGTAAGCTGCCCATGCCCCAGTGGATGGTCCCATACTCATGAGTATATAGACAACGTATATACTCTGAGTTTTGTTGTTGTTGTTTTTTTTTTAATTTTTTAAGGAGGAATAGCACACAATGTGGGGACTGTATTGGGAGATGTTTTGGGGGAAGAGGATAGGAAAGTTGGGTTTGATATTGTCTTAGTTACTGTTCTGTTGCTATGTAAGACACCATGACCAAAGCAACTTATGGAAGTGTTTAATTTGGGTTTATGATTTCAAAGGTTTAGAATATGTGATGGCAGAGCACAGATATTGTGGGAGAACACCTGAGACCTTCTGACTCACAAGCAAAAGGCAGAGTGAGAGAGAGACGGTGACTTGAATCTTTTGAAATCTCAGAGCATGTACCCAGTAAGGCCACCTGCTCCAACAAGGTCACATCTCCTAATCTTTCACAAACTGTTAGATAAACTGCAGACCAAATATTTAAGACATGAAGTTATGAGGGCTATTCTCATTCAAACCACCAGAGATATAATCAAGATATATTGTATGTGTATGAAATTGTCAAATAATAAATAATACTATTCTAAAATGTAGTTTCACTAAGGTTCTAGAAGGGTCTACATTAGGTACAAGTGTGATTGAGTTGTTTGGAAATAAGTAGTAGACACAGAGTAGTCAAAAAGACTTATCAGCTGCAACAAAGCAATTTGATTTTGGTCCTTGTGCTTGGAATGTTAAATGTAGCCCATAGTCTCACATTCGAACACTTGTTTCCAAAGACGGTGGAGTTTTAGGGGGAGGTCATGAAAACTTTAGGAGATACAATCTTACTAGTGGAAGTGAGTCACTGGGGGTGGTCCTTGAGAATTAATAGCTGGCCACACTTTCTGTTCATTCTTCGGTTCATGAGTATGGATGCAATGTGACTAGCAAGTTTCCTGTTCCTGGTGCATGCCTTCCCTACCATGATGTACTGTATCCCTCTGGAAGTATAAGCCAAAATAAAGTATTTCTTACTTAAGTTGCCTCTGTTAGGGTATTTTTATCACCTAAACAATAAAGTAATCCTATCTTCCTTCCCAGCTCAGTGTTAAAACATGTGATTCCACTTCTAGTTAACATGAAATATTTCAATAAAAGAAATATTATATTCTTGAAAACTATTCTACATCTAAATTGATATGGGTGTGGCTAATCCATATATTTACTTTTCTACCACCATGAAGATGATATCCTTTAAATTTGGAAGCATAACAAATTCAGGAAAAAGTTAAAAAGCTTTTGCTAATTATCCTTCAGTAATTATGTTACTTATGTAAGTTTTCATCTTGGCCTGGAAACATCACTGAAATATAGAAATCATATATAATTCATATGAGGAATTGAATTGCAATATTTAAAAGGATATGGGAAAGTGTTCCTTGTCTGAATGTTTTTTCAAAGTATCATCTACCAGGTCCATATAAAAATGTATAAATTCAGGCTTCAAACTTAACAGATGGACCATGCCTCTTAATTTTGTCCCTTCTCTTTCCCTTCAATTCCTTTTCTAAGCTACACTGAGAAGCAACACTGGAAATCATGAATACCATTTTTGATGCTTTGAAATACAAAGTAATTTAGATAAAAATGTCTTACGATGGCCAGGACCTCTTCACTTTCACCCTGTATCCTCATTCCATGCTCATTCTTGCTTCTAGTCCCACACTCCAGCCAAAAATGACATTTTTTATTGAACTATTGCATCAAATATATCTGTATTGCTTTAACAAAATTTGTGTTTAGCATATTCATTTCCTCCACTTAGTTTTGCCTTCTACATCACTCTATTCATCATTCTTCAGTGTCTCATTTAAATTTGTCCTCCTCTCTTCCTTTTTCATTATCTATGCAGCGTTATGGGTTCTTCCTGTTTCTCACCCATGTGTTCTTAACAGTCCCTGTTCTACAGTTGTTTCTACTCTGTAAATCTGCCTCCTCTAATGGAGGGTTCTTCTCTCATAGCAAAAGCTCTACCTTGTCTATCATTTGTACCAAGGATTTGGTCATCATTTATACCCAACAGATGCTCAAATGCTTGATAAATTAGCCCTTGGTGATGACTTAGTTTTTTTTTATAGTTTCCAGAATTGAAAATTAGTACAATATTCTTTTTTTATGATGGTATTGTTAAGCTCTTAAACTGAAAAAATATCTTAAGATTCTTTAAACCATAGGACCTACTTCTAGATTGTGAAAAGCCATATGTCCCTAGTATATTCTATCAAAATATTAGATGTCTAAAGGTCAGGATTACTAACTCAGTAGCAGTCCCAAGGAATGAAATACATTGAAGTGTAATAACTATTACTATTTA